GGCCCAGCCGCCGCCGCCGCCCCCGCAGCAGTTCCCGCAGTTCCACGTCAAGTCGAGCCTGCAGATCAAGAAGAACGCCATCATCGATGACTACAAGGTCACCAGCCAGGTCCTGGGGCTGGGCATCAACGGGAAAGTTTTGCAGATCTTCAACAAGAGGACGCAGGAGAAATTCGCCCTGAAAGTAGGTGTGGGGCCCGTGGGGGGGTTGGGCCGGGCTGGGCGGGGGCGCCCGGGACGCGGCGGCGGCGGCGGCGGGGAGGTCGGTCCGGTGCGAGTTTCCGGCGCCCCGGGTGGCGCGGGACTCGGCGGCCGGGACCGGCCGGCGCGCGGAGGGCTCTGCCATCTTGGCGCCCGAGCGCGCCCTGGGAAGTGCTCTCCATCCCCTCCGCCCTCCTTTCTTCCTTTCTGCGGGCACAAAAGGCCCATTACTCATGGAGCGGGTTGGTCGGTCGGTTTGGAGAAGTCGGAGCTCGGTGCTTTATTTCGCCTCGCGCCTTATTTGGGAGCCGGAATGTGTGATTTCACTTCCCTGGGCCTCACGAGGGCGGCCGCTCCGGCCCGGGAGGCGCAAGGCTGGAGATTCCGCGGGCCGCCGCCCCCCGCCCGCGCGGGGGAGGATTGTTGTGATTCGCGCCGGCCCTCTCTACCCGCGCCCGCGGGCCTCCAGATGGGCTGCGAGCAGGCCCCGCGCGCGCTCTGCCTGTGTAGCTTCACTGATCGCTGCAGGCCAGGTCTTCGCCAACTGGGGACAGTCGCTTTGGTCCTGGACGCGGGCGGCTGATGCACAGCAGGAGAACACTATTGGCTTGGGGAAACCCAGCTTTTTCTTTTCGTCCTTTTCTGAGTGGGTGTGTCGGGAGGAGCATGATGATTTAAGTGACCACACCACTCCAGAAGTTAAACACAATAGACTTGGAAGTCTGCTGCGATGGGATGGGTCCTAGGTGAAGTCTGAGTAAGTCGTTCAGGTTCACCAGAAAGGTTTTCTTCCTGGAAGGGTTTCGGGTCAAACCACATCTCTAAAGGTGACAGGGCAAGTTTGTTTCCCCTGGGGTGCCTTAATGATTGGAGGAGGAGAGAAATACTTCCTGTGTTCTGGTTTTTCTCTTCCCCTTCAGTCTGCATAGCTGGCTGGATTTCGTTTATCAAATACTAAACTGAGCTGTGTGACTTAGGGGTGGGCCTGTTAGCATATACAATCGGATGTTATAAAAACCTGGTACTTTGCAGAGGACAGGCATATCCAGTTTCTGGATTATAAGAACTCTCAAATTATTTTCATTCTGCTTTTATTCTCAGTGCTGTCAAATTTCTTTTGCTTCTTCTGTAAGCACCCCTGCCGTGGGACGGCAGTTGTTGCCTAGTTGACTGTTGGAGAGAGAATTTATCAGTGCCTTGAACGCTGTAACATTTATGCCGCTGACCTCCTGTTCCATGATGAGGGGCAGTTGGGGGAGGAGGTGTCGGGCTGACTGGCTCTGACCTTGGGGATTGGAGGTGAGTGAATACAGTTGGTTCATGGTTACTCTGCAGCTTTGAGGAAGTGATCCCCTCGCTTTCCAGGAGTGTTTTCTGTCTCTTCTGAGATGCCATCTGCCTTAGCCTGTCAGCAGTGGAGACTTTGGCCGTTCTTTCTTTTGGAAAGACTAGAGCATAAAGACTTCAGAACAAAAGCTCACAGTGTCTCCTCATTCTGTTTAGTACACACACGTGCACACAGATGCAGGAGCACCATGCTCTAGAATGCTTTTGGGTGGCAGTTCAAATTTCTGTCGTAATTAATAGGACAGAAATTTGGGTATTTTTTTTCCTTTGAATAGTTTTGACAGGAAGAATCCAGCAGTATATTAAATAGCACTTAGTTTATCCTTCCCTGGTTATAAGTAGGCGAAGACTGAAGTCAGAGTCTGTTTTGACAGGCAACTTGTTCCCAGTTGAGAAGTTGACTCAACTGTTAAGTTGTAGATTTCCCACACATCTTTGTGTTAAAACTTAATAATAGAGGAAGAAAGGAGGGACAAGGCATTTGGTGACGGACAGCAGTGTCAACAGCACTTTCCTATCCAAATATTGCCTAAGACATAATTACAGCTTTGCGGGAATCTTGTTGGAAGAATCCTGTTTCTCAGACATGCACCAAAGAGATTTCCTGATCTTAAATTTTGATTAACTTTCAAAAGTAGGAGCCTTTTGATTATAAAGCAAGGGAGGAAGTTGTGGTCAGGCAGGCAGGATTGGTGACCCCATTGGGAAGATGCCTGAGAAAAGGGGAGGAGACCTGTCCTCTGCTGAGCTGTTTCTGGGGGACAGGAAGTCTGCTTTCTCTTAGTTATGAGAGTTTATTGGAAGTGGTGGCTGCCCAAGTGCTCTGCTCCCTCTCTGTGGTCTTGTGACCTGTTTGCCCTGTGAAGTAAAATCAGTGTTTTACAAATGATCCCAACATACTCTACTGTTCTTCTGCTGCCATCTTGGAGAGCTGGTGTAGAAATGCTTTTGGTGAGTGCTGTGACCTCATCTCACCTCTCCTGCAAAGTTCTCAGTCATGCTGAGAACTTCCAGGCAGAGTTGGAAGAGATTTCAGTGGTCATCTCATCCAGCACCCTCATTTTGCAGATGAGAAAGCCATGGCCCAGAGTGAAGGAGTGTCTTGCTCCAGGTGAATAGCCATTCACTTGGCAGAGGTAGGATTAGAATCCAGGTTGCCTGACTCCTCCTCTTGGTCTGTTTCCTGACTGCAGTGATGGTGACAGGCAGAGGCTGGCTGCTGCCCCAGAGAACTGTGAGTGGGGAGCTCCGCTGCCCACAGGCTCTCCTCTGCCTGTTGGCCAGTTGGCAGTAGGTGGGTATCTGCCACCTTCTAGTCATAATCCCCAAAGCAGCAGCTACATGAGTCTTAGATCTGCAGTGACAAGCATATTTACCTCCTTTTTCCCTTTCTTAGGGAGTATGTGATATAAATCTTTATTGTTATTTGTAGAAGAATATGGGAATTCTATTATTACTTCGGCCCAGACTGCTAGTCTCAACCCTTTTATGTATTAATTGGTTGTATTTCCATGGGGTTTCTTAGCTGCTTCCTGCCTTACTGTATCATGGTAACTTTCAGGTATTAGCTGAACAAATTTAATTAAAGTCTGTACTGTTGTCCTGCTCTGCTGCGCAACACTGATTAGTTGAAGCATGTTACTGCTTTACAAAATACGGAATGTTGTCGTAACTTATCTCTGTTTATCTTTCCACTTTGTAGTGTAGAGGTTTTTTTTTTCCTTTCTCCACCAAGCCTCCTTCTTCAGGTCATCCATGTGCCTCTGTGATATGGCTTCCTTTGGTGTCATGAAGGGAAGGTGCTTAGACCCTCTCTTGGTTGGTCTGGACCCTGTTAGAGGGAAACAGAGTGCACACATCCTTCCTCGACCCCAGGCAGTGTCCTGTTCCACACAGCTCATCTTACACACTTGTGGGACTGAAGCCAGGTAGTGCAGCTGGATGAGCGGCAGAGCCTGTCTCAGGTTGGGGTGGCTAGGTGGAATGACAGTGTGAAGTCTCGCTGACCAAGCCAGCCTCTTCTCTGTCCAGTATGGTTTCGGGTAGTTTGATGAGCACTTGCTATATTTTTTGTCCTGTATAAAGCGATATATAAAATTTTGAGGGTCAAGGAACCTGTCTGGAGAAGACAAAATGAACAAACGTAGTCAACGCTGCCCCGCCAAGTATGGTTGCCACTGCCTAGGTGTGGCTGCTAAATTAGAATTAATAAACGTGAAGCAATGAAACTAACTCAGGAATTCACTCACTGGCCACATTTCATGGGTTGAGCTGCCGCATGTGTAGTGGCTGCTGGATGGAGCTCTGTGGAGGCTGTGGTGAATGAAGTTGGATATGTCGAGCAGAGGGAGGGAGTAGGAGAGGCTGGCGGTGCGGCTCAGAGATGAACCTAAGTCATCTTTGTGTTGAAATGAGTTTTAAAGTGTTTGAGGGGCTTGAGGATATTACAAAGAAAGGTTAGGGATAGCTGAAGGGGGGTTATGGAGTTTTGAGGGAAGGACCCGATTTGTGCTTTCAGAGACACTGTCCTTGTTGTGAGCAACTGCTCCATGCTGGCCTTGGTGCTGACTGGTCGACTGCAGCAGGGCTCCTGACATCATGGAGGCAGTATCAAAGCTGGATTGGCCCAGGGTCCTTTTTCACTCTTCAATTCTGGGCTTTGATAGAACTTGAAAATAATCTGGACTCTGGCTGATAGGAGGGGAAAGAAAAGTCCTCTCAGGGCCTCAGGGACACATATTGGTGGGGTCTGGGAAGCATTGGGCTTCTTTTTGGAGGATGAAAGTATTGGTATCTGTTTCAGAGAAGATGTTTCAATTGCTCAGGACCCTGAGGGATTGGATGTGTTCAGTTACCAATTTAAGAGGCAGGTGCCAGGGATTTGGAGGAAGGCCAGGAGGAGCCAAGCCTCAGGACAACTGGAAACAAACTCAGTCCCTGGCTGAATCTTGGGCCTGAGGAAGCACAGGGATGTGAGTACTTTGTGCGAGGGGGACTGTCCGCCAGAGTGGGCATGAGCACAACACCAGCACCAGCGTCTCAGTCATTCCTCATTCCTGAGCAGCCCTGGCATCTTCTGAGCTAGGAATCTCCCCGATGCAACAGGATCTGTGGCACAAGAATTGTACCTCCCTGTCTTTCTCTCCTGTGCTTCAAGCCCCGCTATGGCCTGTGTGCGGGGGCTTTTCCCCTTCTCTGTACTGCACCTTCCCAAGTGGCTTTTTGTCTTGGTGGGAGGTTGGTGGGCAGGGCAGAGTTCTTTGCTGGTGCCGCAGTTTCTTCTGTTAATGGTTTAAGGCCCAGGAGTAAAGGGAGTCACACCTTGCAGCAGTCTAGAGCCGACAGTCCTTGCCATCTTTCTTTCCTCTTTTCTTCTGCCAGAGGAAGAGGCTGGGCCAGTGTAAAAAGGTTCAGTGTTTTACTTAGTGTTGGTATCTGAGCTGTGTCTTAGCCCCTAGTTCCCTGTGACCTTCTCTGGTCTGGGTTCCTTGGGTTTTTGGTTGTTAGAGAGTGGTAGTATTGGGATTGTATACAGTCCAAAGGCAAGCCATCAGCTAGGATCCACTAACCCATCAGCAAGGATCTTTCCATATAGGTCACCTTCAGATAGGTTATTAGTAAGGAGAGGGACATGCT